GTGTTCAGGAAAGAGTAAAAGGTGTAGAGTTGAAGCTCAGCGGCTCGCTCCGCCTTATGTCCTGTAACTACAGCTAAACGAGAACAAGTGCTGGAGCAGACACCTGCAGCAGGCAGCGGGAGGAGAGAAACTTGAAGTCCCCATGAGTATAGAACAACAAACGTGTGTGCGGGAGGTGTGGAGCGGAGCCGCGAGCAGAGCTCAGTGTTATTAGGAGAGATGAGACTGTCAGTGGGCGACCATTGATACTGCTGGATTATTTTTATGGAACATGGAAATTTTTTCAGCGGGCGACCGCTCCCCCTCGAACGATTGGTCGCACCAGTGTGACCGGACATTATTTTTAGTCGCACTATTAGGAAATCGGGTCGCATTTGCGACCAAATTGGTCGCATTCTAGAGCCCTGCTTGAGCATTCATTGAATGACTTTTAGTCCGTTTAAACTGTGTCAAAGTGCATTGTTGCCTCCAGAAACAGGTACGAAAATTGTTCTCCTTAGAATCAGTAAGTAAATGACCAACAAATTTCTTTATATTCATAATCTGTGTCTGATTTCCTGCTCAGAAATTCAATATTCGTTTTTTTATTTCATCATCTCTGCTGACCTGAAAGACGAAAGTAGAAAAAAAATCACAAAAAGACTTAGCAATTTTGTTTTTTTTTTCTCTTCAGATGATTGCACGTGGCAAAAATGCATCAGATCTCTTCCCAGCTGTGGTGAAAAATGTGGCGTGTAAAAACATTGAGGTTGGTAATAAATCAACTTACATGTAAATTCATAGTATTGTCTCTATGTAGTTTTGAATATTTTTTTATCTCAGTTGAACAAAATAGTTATTTTTTTCCTTAATATCCTAGGGCATTATCTATTTACTTCATAATTTTCAAAAGTCCAATAATCCACAGTTGTTCTTAGGTTTTAGCATGTTTTTTTTTTCAACTGTTTTTTGTTCCAGGTAAAGAAGCTCGTTTATGTCTACTTGGTGCGTTACGCTGAGGAACAACAAGATCTTGCCTTACTCTCTATTTCTACCTTTCAACGTGGATTAAAGGTACATCTTCATTTTCTTGAGTGCAACCATGACAACAAAAGTCATTTTACCTTCGAGACAACTAAAACAGTTTCTTTAATGTAATGATTTCTGTTTGCATTTTGCATGTCTGCAGTGTTTTCTTATGGAGGACCAAACCTATCATTATTGGAAATAAATGTATAAATATATAACTGGCGTATTAAAATAAATTATAGGGTCAAAAAGAAGTCTTTTTTCTAAGCTAAACTAGACCTCGGCCAATAGGCGAGAAG